GCTCGGAGGGGCGGCGGGATGGAGCCGCCGGGCCCGCCCCCGGCCTACGCCCCCGCCAACGGGGACTTCACCTTTGTCTCCTCGGCGGACGCCGAAGGTGAGCTGGCGGCGACGGGGCGGGCCGCGTGACGACCCGGGTCCACGGGCAGGCCTCCGCCTTCCCACGGGCCCCGAGTAGCCGCCGGGGTGTGGGCTGCAGGCCGGGTGGGAACCCCGGCCCTCGGGAGGCCTCCGCCTTCCCACGGGCTCCCAGCCGCCGGACGGTGACTGCCAGGGGATCAGCCGAACCCCGCGGTCTGATTGAAATTACTCAAGGGACGCCTCGATGGGCCTGAGGAGATGTCCGAGAACGAGCACAAAGTTTAGCTGTATTCTCTTTATCCCTAGAAGTCTGTGTTGTTGTTGTTTGTCTCTCTAAACCAACTTCCCTCCACGGGTTCCTACTTTATGTCGACTTGGTTATCCTGTCTGAGTGCCAGTTTTCCAATTTGTTGTGTTTGACCACAATAGCAAAAATAAGCGTGGGGAATCCGATGTCCCCCAAAGCCTTAACAGATTTCCTTGTGTTTTCAGGAAGCAGTTGTGGTGGAAAATTATCTTCTCCTTTCTCAGTTTCATACTTAACTCCTTGTAGCCTGAAGCTTCCTCTGCTAGACATTGTCAGATTTTTACTTTTGTTAGACTTTATGTATTCAAGTGGTCAGATTCCTGCCCGATATGAAAAGATCGCTGGAGAAATTTCAGTCTAGAGTAGAACTTAGAATTCCCTCAGAAGTCTGCTTTCATAATGTAGCACTGAGTTAAGCTTGTTATCAAGAGGCAACGTAGGTATTTACCAATAAAACAGTTGATATACACTTTATGAACGGAAATAGAGCAAGTCTAAACATCTCGGTCTTTTTCAGTTTATTTTTTTAATTTTCAAACGGTTGTACAGGGGATTACAATTTAACATGTCAGTTTATATGTACAGTACATGCTGATCAGTCATTCCTTCCATCATCTGCCCTCCCTTCTCCCCTTCTTCCTTCCTTCATTCACCAATCACCTCGTTTCCTTGCCATTTCAGCCTTTTTTTTTCATCTGCATTTATTAGCATAGGACTTAAAGAGAAGTATCAAATTTAACTTCTCAAGCTTAAAAAGATTGTCTTCCTTGGGTATTAGAACCTCGTGTTTGTTCAAACTCACATACCTGTATTGATTTTTCATATCTTTCTCACAGGATCATTTTCCTTAAGAACAGCTAAGATATCTGACAGGATAATGCATCTAGGTTACCCACTGACTCCATATACTAAGAAACTTGAAATGAGTAAACTACACAAGGTTTATTAAAACTTCTTCATATTTCCTCCAATTATACACAGTTCAGTGTGTATATACACATACACACATATAATATGAATAATAGTCAACCATATATATTAAGATAGCATGAAGACATGTATATTTTATATACAATTGCTATATATGTTATACATATTCTACAAATGTACAGTGATATCCTCATGTATATAACATTGTAAGGTTTACATTTACTGAATATTTCAAGCATACTATCTTTTTGTTGATGGTGGTGGTGGTTATAGGACTTGAACTGGGGTCCTAGTCGCTGTCCTTGAGCTCTTTTACTCAAGGCTAGCACTCTACCACTTTGAACTACAGCGCCACTTCCCGTTTTGTGGTGGTTAGTTGGAGATAAGATTCCTACTCCAGCTGGCTTTGAACCCTGATCCTCAGATCTTAGCCTCCTCAGTAGCTAAGATTATAGGCCTGAGCTGCCAGTCCCTGCCTAGCCTTTTGATCTTTAATATTAAACACCTGATGAGCTCTATTATTCATGTATATTTGAATTATAATTTATTTTTTTCCTCTTTTTTTGGTCAGTTGTGGGGCTTGAACTCAGGGCCTGTGCACTGTCCCTGAGCTTTTTCACTCAAAGCTAGTGCTTTACAACCTTAAGCCACAGTTCTACTCCCTTTCCCCCCCCCCATATAAAAATGAAGGAAAAAAAACCTCTTGTTACTATTTCCTTGAGTTCATTTTAATAATTATTTTATATGATCAGATGCACATAAGCATCAAACCTTTGTGTTTCTCACCTAAGAATATCTTCCTTTGGTCTCACTATGTGTGAATGCCTAGAGTCTTGTATAATTTATTATGTCCCAGTGTATTTTCTTATTTCTGCATCTGAGAAAAAAAAACACACCATTTTATTTTATTTCTGTCATTGGAGGTGCTTGAATTCCGCTTAGGTGCTGTCCCTTAGTTTTTTTTACTCAAGGCTAGCGTTGTACCACTTTTAGCAACACTGCCACTTTGGTTTTCTGGTAGTTAATTAGGGAGAAGGGTGTTATGGACTTCCCTGACCAGGCTGGCTTTTTTTTTTTTTTTGCCAGTTGTACCTGAAGTCAGCCTGGGCACTGTCCCTCACCTCTTCAGCTCAAGGCTAGTGCTCTACCACTTGAGCCACAGCACCACTCCTGGCTTTTTCTGCTTATGTGTTGCTGAGGAATTGAACCTAGGGCCTCATGCATGCTAGGCAAGCACTCTACCACTGAGCCACCTTCCCAGCCCCTGTCCTCCCCCTCTTCCCCCAAGCTGGCTTTGAACTGTGATCCTCAGATCTCAGCCTCCTCAGATTACAGGCATGAGCCACCAGCACCTGGCTAACACACCATTTGATTCTTATATTTTATAAGAAATTGAGGCTAAGCTGAGTACTGGTGGCTCATGCTTGAAATCCTAGCTACTCAAGAAGCTGAGATCTGAGGAGACTCTATTTTTTTTGGGTCCTGTTGTGGGGCCTGGACTCTGGGCTTGAGCACTGTCCCTCAGCTATTCAGCTCAAGGCTAGCAGTCTACCACTTGAGCCACAGCACCACTTCCAGCTTTTTCTGTTTACGTGGTAGTGAGGAACTGAACCCAGGGCTTCATTCATGCGAGGCAAGCACTCTACCACTAACCCACATTCCCAACCGAAATATGAGTCTTCTTTAGGTCAAATCTTGATACTTTTTCCATAGACATGCATATACAATCCATCTAACCAGCAGTGTCATGGTTTTGATTAAATGGAATCTGAGACACAGTAAAAATACATCAGCAGGGCCTGGGAAGGTGGCTCAGTGGTAGAGCGCTTGCCTTGCATGCCTGAGGCCCTGGGTTCAATTCCTCAGCACCACATAAGCAAAAAGAAAAAAGCTGGAAGTGGCGCTGTGGCTCAACTGGTAGAGGGCTAGCCTTGAGCTGAAGAGCTGAGGGACAGCGCCCAGGCCCAGAGTTCAAGCCCCACGACCAGACCCCCCCCAAAAAAAAAAGACATCAGCAGAAACATTTCAAATAGGAGGGTGAGAAAGCCAATTTAAGTACAGTAATATCTGAAGACCACATTATATAGTAAAGCATCTTAAATGAACTGATGCTATTAAAAGATAAAAAAGGGGTGAGAGGGCTGGGAGAGAATGATGAAAGGGGTACCATTGATCAACATGGTATTGTATTCATAACCTGCTTTGAACAATTACTTAAAGATAAGTTAAAAAAAAAAAGAGAGGTCTGGGAATGTGGGTGGCTCAGTGGTAGAGTGCTTGCCTGGCATGTATGAAGCCCTGGGTTTAATTCATCTACCACATAAACAGAAAAGGCTGGAAGTGGCACTGTAGCTCAAGTGATAGAGTGCTAGCCTCAGGGACAGTGCCCAGGCCCTGAATTCAAGCCCAGGACTGTCAAAAAAAATAATAGAAAGCGGAAAGCTGAGCATTGTGATTCCTCTGTGATCTGAGGCAGAGGCAGGCAGATCTGAAATTCAAGGTCAATCTTGACTGCATAGTAACATCCTGTCTCAAAAACAACCAAAAAGGGCTGGGAAGGTGGCTCAGTTGGTGGAGTGCTTGCCTCCCATGCATGAGGCCCTGCGTTTGATTGCTCAGCACCACATAAGCAGAAAAAGCTGAAAGTGGTGCTATGGCTTAAATGGTAGAGCCCTAGCCTTGAGCTGAAGAACTGAGGGACAGCACCCAGGCCTAGAGTTCAGACACCACGACCGACAAAAAAAAAGGCAACCAACAATCCAAATTGGGTTTGATCTGTGTCTCCTCATGTTTCCACTAACCTCTGATACCTCTTTCTATAAATTGACTAATGTATTAGAACTATAGAAAAGTTCTGAGTTTTCAGGAGGCTGAGATCTGAGGATCGCGGTTCAAAGCCAGCCCGGGCAGGAGAGACCTTGAGACTCCTATCTCCAATAAACCACCAGAAAACCGGAAGTGGCGCTGTAGCTCAAGTGGTAGAGCGCTCAGCTTGAGCTGAAGAGCTGAGCCCAGGCCCAGAGTTCAAGCCCCACAACCGCCAAAAAAAAAAAAAGTTCTGAGTTTGCATCCTGGTTTTACCATTGCTATCTGTGATCATAGCAAATCAACTTGGCTACTAAGTATACAGAATAAGAATAATAGTATCCCTGACAGTTTGCGAGTGTAAAGCACTTAGTACTGTACCTGGCAGAGTCGAGTGCCCCACATAAGTAATGTAAGTTGAAGCTGCTGCTTGGGTTTCAGTGTTAACTGGCTTCACACTTATTTTCCAATGTGAACTTTTAATTCTACTGACTGTCTTTTCTCTAACTGCAAATGTTTTCACCTTACAGCTGTTTTCTGTCTACTGCTCCTTCTGGATTGTGTTCAAGTTTCTTACTCTTTTTCTCCCAAGTTTCTTATTCTTAATGATACCTATCCTAACTCTTTGGCTACACATACCATGCTGAATGTTCCCCAGGATCTTGTCTTCATATGAATGTGTGTCCTGGGCTCCCTATCTTTTTTTTATTTTTAAGAAGCTTATTACCAAGCAGGTTATTTTGAAGGTCTTCTGTTCAAATCATTGGCCAATAATTACTATGTATCCTCTGTAATTTATATAAAATATTGCTAGTTACTAACCTAACGCAAAAGGCCAAGCTAGTCAAGTGGGGTTATAGGGAGATTTAATGTTAAGCAGATTAACAATAACCTACAACCTATATGGATCAACTAACCTGGGCTTCCTATATTGACTGCCTTTCTCTGTCCTGAATTACAAAACATGAGACTGA